AAAATTCAACCCTACGAGAGAGAAAATGGGAGAAAAAGTCAAAGCCCAAAAAAGTTCATGAAACCCGAGAGAAACTCAAGGAGAACAAGCCCAGAGGGGTGAAAGTGAGGAAAAGCGTCAAAATTTTTTTTTGATTGGTTCAAAATATTGAGAATCAAGAAGGTTTAACAAATAAAGTGTGTGTGGGGCGTTGGAAAATGCGTGTAAAGCTCGGATCTAGAGAAAGAAAGTGTCTAGAGAGAGAGGGAAAATAATTTCGGACCTAGGGTTATGAAGAAATGAAGCCTTGAGCCTTGTATTTAAAGCCCCACGAGAAAAATGTCTAAAATGTCCCAAATTTGCCGTCGGTGGTCGACAGGTGGTCGGCAGGCCACATTGGTGGCCAGCAAGGCTTTCTGGTGGCCGACAGGTGGCCGACAACCTCTCCATGTGGCCGGCAGGTGGCCTTCCTTTGTGTCCTGATGCTGTTCTATCTCTTTGTTTCCTAAGAAGTGCAGGGAAGGTTCACTGTTGGGTCCAGATTGTTTCTAAGGGACCTCAAGAAGCTCGAAACTGTGTTTTGGGGCACGATGTTCATCACTTGTCAATATGAACGAAGTGTATCCTTTTGAACGTATTGCAATTCCTCCAAGAGGTAAATCGAAAGGTGCCATCGAACATCATTTTTATTCGTTTTACGCTTTCGTTCTCTTTCGTTGCATAGAATATGCATTTCATATTACATATGTTGCATACGTGTCTTGCATCATTTATGATTCATGCGTAGAACACGCTGTCAATTTTGCATAGAATATGCTTTTGTTTCTTGCATAGAACATGCCTTCAACTATGTTATACGTCGGTTGTTTATCTTGCACAGAACATGCGTTGTCACTATATTGATCTATAAATTGGTTTATTTTGTGCATCTATCGCACTTGTTCACTTTTGTGCATCTATCGTACACCTCTCTGTTTCATCTCGGGACGCATGAAGCGCGAGCCCGAACAATTTTTCCTTGTATCTCAGGACGCGTGAAGCACGGCCCTGGGTGTGTTTTATCTTAGGACATGTGAAGCGTGAGCCTGAGCAATTTTCTTGTATCTCAGGACACGTGACGCACAGCTCTAGGCATGCGCTTATCTCGGGACGCGTAAAAAACGAGCCCCGAGCAATTTTTCTCCTCTTATCACGATTTTAGCGTGATTAAAATATCTCAGGATGCGTGAAGTGCGGCCCTAGGCGTGTTTTATCTCGGGACGTGTGAAACACAAGCCCGAGCAATTTTCTTGTATCTTAGGACGCGTAAACCACCGCCTTGGGCATGTTTTATCTCAAGAAGCGTGAAGTGCGAGCCTAGACAATTTTTCTTGCTTCTCAGGACATGTGAAGCGCGACCTTGAGTGTGTTTTATCTCGGGACGTGTGAAATGCGAGCCCGAGCGATTTTCTCGTATCTTAGGATGCGTGACGTGCGATCTTGAGCAGTTTTTTTATTTTGGGACGTGTGAAATGCGACCCTGAGTGATTTTTGTTCTCGGTTTCTCAGGATGCGCAAGGTGCAACCCTGAGCTGTGTTTTCTTTCCTCGTCTCGTGTTTTGGTGTGGTTAGACTGTGTTTTATTTCTTTTGCATGGAACCTATGTTGGTTTTAAACTTGAAGCTGCTCAGTCATACATTCATATGTTGTTGTCTTATTTTTGCTTATTGCATCATTGCGCATGAGCATGGGTTTTCAAAATAGCCGGTTTCACGAAGCGTGTGAGTCCAGCTTTCAAAGTTGCATTGTGCATATCATTTGCATCTTGTCCCAAAACTACGCTGGTTTGATTCCTTACAAACGGATACGTAGGCAGCCTACGAGTGAAACCATTTATTTCTGTCTTGATTGTTTGTCTAAGTCTTACGGTCTTGTCAAAATGGGTCATCTTCGGGCTTTAACATTCACTCACGTCATTTCATGACTCCGAGTTTTGTCAAAGAAGGGCAACTGTAGACACCTTATTTTTTACAGCCATTACGACTTGGACGCCATCGCTTGCACACCCAATGATAAGTCTATATGCTTACCAAGTGGTCGAAGTCCTCAATGGAATGCCACAGCTTTGAGCCTTTCAAAACCTATACCCCTGTTGCCTCATTTTTGGACCAAACCCAGAGATCTTCAAGCCTGTAACCTCTGGTGGCCTACCGGCCATCACTCTTGGTTGCCGGCCACTAGTGTCTTTTGTAGATATTTTGTGATAGTTGTGCTAGTTGTTTGCACAGATGCATGCATCTGCTCCCACGTGTTGCGCTGGATGTTTATGAGGGAAATTCATGTTTTCTATATATAGAGGGGCTCCCTCTCATGTTTTAAGGTTAGAAAAAATTTGGAGCAAAATTTTTCCTCTCTTTATAATTCTTTCTCTCTCTTGCAAATTTACACTCTTGCCTACATATCCTTAACCTTTGCCCATACACTCTTAACCAAATCTCTCCATATTTGAGCTGACGTATCTTTGAGGCTTGTTGGAGCTCTTGAGGGTGTGTTTGTTTGGTTTTATTGCTTGGAATTGGTTCTCCTCTTGAAGAGGTATAAGGCCTTGCCTCTTTACTTGCTTTAACTACTCTTTTTCTTGCTATTTTCCAACTATTTTTGGGCTGTAAAAAAACTTTGTATTTTTGGGCTGAAATTTGGGTTTTAAGGCAATTAAAGGTTGAGGGATGGTTCACCATTCTTTGCACCTTGTTTTGAAAACCTTTTCCCTTGTGTTGCCCACCTTTACACTATGTTTTTTTGAGCTTTTAAACACTGTTTTTTAGAGTTATTTCAGTGGCCAAAATCATATTTTGAAGTCCAAAATTGGAGGGGTTAGCCTCCCCTCCTTGTGTTTTGCTTACTAGTCTAGCATGCTCTATGTTTTAGCTTATTATTCTAGCTTTTGTTAGCTTAATTCCAGCATGTTTTAGGACTGTATTAGACCTGTTTGAGCACTATTTGTAAGTGTTGCATTTGAGTTTTGTTTTGCATGCTTGTAGTGTAATTGTCCTCATGAGTTTGGTGTTTAGGCATTAGACACCACCTTATTTGAGTTGATTGCATTTATTTATGGCTTTCCATACTTGTGATCACTCTTAATCACCTCTGCAACCTCCCTCCTTTCTTGGCTTTTGTTTTGCTTTGAAAGTGGTTTCAAACTACTTGTTTATTTAAGCATGAGATTGAGGTGTCATGCTTAATGGTTTAATCCCTTAGGGGGTTCATTACCAATAGTATGATATCTCTTTCATGCCCAAAGGAACTCTTGGTTTGAGCCCTCTTTCCATCAGAGGACTTAAATTCATCATTGGACTCAATGAATTAAAGGATGGTTGGTCATTAAAATGGGACTAAAATTGTGCAAGATAAGAATTTGGTTTTATGATCAATCGGACGTTAATTGAACACATGGAAGCTTGAGGCATTTCATACTCATTAGTGATGAAATGATTCAAGTTTCCAAGGTCACCACTTCCTTGATCTTTCATGAAAGAGAGGAGGTTTGAGTCTCTTTTTGTTGCATTTATTGAACTTGCACACTTTGGTTCATAAGCCATCATGCAATGAAATTGCTTGAATTGATGGTTTGTGGACCAAGTTTTGTCTCTCCTTTGATATGTTCATGATAAGGATGGGTGAGTTGTGCAGACAACCCTTGAGAATACTATGTGTATGCTCAGTTTGTTCTCTGTTGCAGCAAGATGAACTGTGTAACTATGGCTGGCAGGCCACTTTTTATGGCCGGCAGGCCATCATCAGTGGACGGCAGGCCCCTTGCCAGCCACTAATGCAAAATTCAGCAGTGTACTCCCCCAACAGAGTAGAGCTAGTCTGGAGGTAGAAATGAATGTAAGTGTTCTACTGTGCAACAGAGGCATTCAGCAGCAAAAATAATGGCTTTTTGGGTGGAAACCAAGCACATGCATGAGCATTCCTCGCGTACCGAGCATGTTTAAGTTTAAATATTTAGCTTAGATATTTGTTGTAATTAATTAGTTAGTTAAACTAGTTGTTTGATTTCGTCTTGTAATTATTTTAGTTAACTAGAATAGTTAATTCATTTGTTGTAACAATTAGTTAAGTAGTTTAGATAATTTAATTTGTTTTGTAATAATTAGCTTAACTTAGCTAGTTAGCTAGTTAGTTTATTCGGACTGTCCTTCGTGAAAGCGCAATGTAATAATGTGTATGTCTTCCAACCCCACGTCTTTCTCCCTTTTATTTACTAGCTTATGATGGTTAGTTTAGGGACATCATGTTTTGTTTAGCATACTTCATGTTTGCATCCACTTGTATTGTATGCACCGAGGCTCTGTTCATCATTCTAACTGCATTGTTACTCCTTATACTTCTTTGAATACGTGCTTAGACCACATGCCATTTAATTGGTTCATATGTCATGTTAGTAGCCGAGCCTATTTAGTTGCATATCGCATGTGTTGCATTAGTCATATTGCATAAGTTAATGATCATACATTTTTCTAAATCATTTATATTTTGGCTTGGAGTACTAGGTGAGCCTTTACTCGCTTTAGCATATTGCATTGTATGTTAGTGTTGTCATGTTCAGCATGCTTGCCATGAGGCTAATTGCTTAATTGTCTTAACTGTTTGAATGCCTGTGGATGAATGCTAATTGCTTGAATTGGAATAATTTGAGCAATGTTTATATGCGATCACTTTTTAAAGTGGTACATATTTCGAAACAATTTTCAAAACAAACATGAATCAAGTGTTCTAATTTCGGCAAAATAGTCTATACTTGTGTGTGTGCGCATCATATAGTAATGCTAGCCTAATAATCAGAAAAGAGCATATAATGTAAATAAAATTCACATCATGATTAGTAGAGGCCGATCTTTGATCGGGCGAGCAGGGGTGCTCAATTCATGACCTTCCCCTCTCGTACCTAAGTTCCCAAGCCGAGACAATCTTGGTGATGACGGACACGTGGCCTTTGGCACGAGTCATGGGTTTCCTAAATTTTCCAAAAAAAGAATTTAATCAGTAAATCTTCACGGTTGAATTCCAGTGAGAAAATAAAACCCAAACCAAGCAATGGAAATCGAAAAGGAAATGCTAGATCAAAAGTAAAGCCCTTCAATCTTTGCACAGAGGTGTGTGTTTATGGTTTTGTGAAATTGACTTTTGCTTTTAAATCCTTCTGTCTTTGCCTCAATTTACTTGAAATCATGTTAATTTTGGTGATTGATTTTTATTGCAGCAAAGGGGAAGATTCAAGGAGGAAGAATTCGTCAAGAAATTACAACAAATGACGATGGAGGAGGAAAAGCAACGGATACCAATCGCACAAGGTCTCCCATTGACAACAGATGAGCCAGAGGTAATTCCATTTAATTTCAAATGCTATCGACTTCCGAAAAAAATAAAATATTATTGGGAATGTCCAAATGGCAACTTACTGGATTTATATATTACAGTGCTTAGTAAAACCTGCCGTCAAAGAAATCACAAGACCGGTTGATTTGGTGCTGCATAGCGATGTGAGGGCTGTGAAGCGTGCTGAGTTTGACCAACAGGTGCATTTTTAACTTTCTTTAAATATTTTTACTCAAGGTTTTCATGTATTAATTGTTTTGGGCATAATGACCATAACTTCACTCACGTATCACATATAAAGTAGGCATTGTGTCATTACTAAAGTCTTTACCATTCACTGAATCTACAAGATTCCATGTTCTCGCGCATATTACATGGCAATAATGAAATTCCCTTTATTGAATTACCGTTTAATTTTGCTTTTGTGATTGCATATTAGCTGGCTGAGAAGATGAGCCTTATTGAACAGTACAGGGAGAAAAGGGAAAGACAACAAAAGGTACATGACAGAAAAAATCTTATGGGTGTGTTTTGGTGATATTAGTCTTGGTAGTTTACTGATATATATGTGCATGCTGGATTTTGCTCCTGTAGTTAGCAGAAGAAGAGGAAATCAGGAGACTAAGAAAGGAGCTCATTCCAAAAGCTCAACTCATGCCCTATTTCGACAGGACTTTCATCCCTAGAAGGTACCAGATAAAATCCAGAATTTTTAAAAACTTCTTTTGCTATACATGGCTTTCCATTTGAATTTGGATAACCAAAAAACCTACTGAATAGAGAAATTATCTAGTAGGTTTGGCCTATAGGACACATGGTGTGTCTTTTCAATATTAGAAAAACATATGATCCACTTGTTTCAATTTTTTATACAAGAAGATATCATGTCTATTTTGGTGGGCGTGGAAAGCTGAACCTGCTAGATAACTTCTCCTACTAAAGACTTCAAATAGACCCTCTCCTTCAAACGATTCTTAAAAAGCAATATGTAGTTTGTATACATTGCTTTCTTTCTTCTTTTTTTATATACATTTTTTTCCCTTCGGTGTCACTTACTGTAGGCTCAACTTTTCCAGCACATTTTATTGATCAGGTGTTGTTTGGATCTCCAATTTTGTAAAATAAACCTCAAACCTAGAAGTTTTCTAATGCATCATTTGACTGGCATAAGTGGTGTAAACATAACGATGTTCCTTGTTTGTTTCGGGTTATTTTCAGGTTGATGAAGCATTGCACCATACCTAGAGAGCCAAAGTTCCATATACCACCACAACACAAGAAGATCATTTGTGGCATGTGTTGGGATGATATGTTCACACGCCAACAATGAAATGCAGAGAAGGAAGAAAAAACCAAGATTTTTCGTAATTTTTTTGTTGTCAATTGCTTAATAATGCTGAACTTTTTTTTCTTCTTCTTTATATGGTCTCCAATATTCCTTGTGTGTATGAAAGCAATCAATTTAATTGCAATTTTGATGAAACAAGTGATGGTAGTGTTGTATGCACAATTGTGTGCTATTTCAATGAATATTATCTCATAATCATTCATTTCTCTAGTGTTGTTATTTACCTTGTTTTCTTTTTTCAATCTTTGAAGCACAAGTCATGTATGCATCTTTATTTGAAGTTTTGCTCTTACACTTTGTTTGTTTGAGCATTTTTTAGATACGTGTTGGTTAGACTAATCACATAGAAATCCAAACAAAGCCTATATATTTAATTAGCACAACCTCAATATACATATTTTGCTGACTTCTTCTAATGTACGACAAGGTAAACTTGGGTAGTTAGGACTTAGGACAGGAATAATGAAGTTTAGTTCACACCACCTTCCAAAAAAAGAAAAAGAAAAAGAAAAAGGTGGTGATTAATATGCCTGTGCCCTTTCTAATTCACTCTCTCTTGAAAAGTTTGATCAAGGGCCAACCACAATTTGGCCAGCAACTTGGTCAAGATCTCATTGGCCACTAGATGTGATTTTTCTCCCACTGATACAACCAAACCACAAAAAAATAAAAAATAAAATAAAATAATAAATTAGCAAACTAATTGACAACATAGCAATAAGATATATGCTTAAAGAAAATCATGCATTACATGTTACTTGGTTGGTTACATGCTGGCTTCGCCGTCATTTTATCATCAATTATTTTACTCTATTGACTTATTGAAATCTTAATCATTGGTCTTCTAGTTTAGGTAATTGCTGCTTTTGGAGCTGTGAAGCATGAGGACATTGTTGTGCAAGTAAAGAAATTGTTTACCAAGTTGTCAACAGATCCAACTACAACGTCTGAATTTTTTGCTAAAGAACCAGCAATTTTTACAGGTTCCGAGGCGTGCTTATATCATATAAATATTTCACAATTTGTTTAATTTAAACGCTCTCTTCCATCTTGTATTTCTACAAAATTTATTAATTGGCATTTTTTATGTGAAAATCAGGTTAGGATGATGATGATATACCTTTGGCAAAATTTGCGGTTGCTTTCAATGGGGCTTCTTGGACGGATCCAGATTCCATTGCTTTGATAGTCATGCAGTCTATGTTGGGATCTTGGAACAAGAATGCAGGTGGTGGGAAGCACATGGGGTGAGCTGTTTGAACATCATTTGTGGGGTTTTAATAACTAAGTTGAATATTTTCCTGTGATATAACCAGTGAGGGCATGCATTAATTAGTTTTTGACAATTTGTAAGCAGTTCTGAGCTTGCACAAAGGGTTGGCATTAATGAGATTGCTGAAAACATGATGGCCTTTAACACCAACTATAAGGACACTGGTCTATTTGGTGTTTATGCCATTGCCAAGGTGAGATTATGTCCTATAATTATGATTTTGTTAGTTTCAGGGCCTTCTTACCCTCTTCATATCAGGTTCTTTCAGATTTTTGACATCTTTTTGCCATGACTCCATATTTTGTTAGCAAATTGAGAACATCTATAAGTCACTCCCTGAAATGATTGGGTTGTATCCCTTGTTCCCTTTTGTTCCATTTCTTTCCTCACTCACTTTTCTGATAGGCTAGGTCCCCATTTGGCACTACTGTGTGTTTAGCTTGGAATTATTTTTCTTTCCCTTGAAATAATGCTTTAGGTTGTGTTTGGCTGCATCTTTAAAGTACTTTGATGTGTAGAGGCTCCCCTAAAGGCACTTTTTTAGTGAAATAGAACATACAAGAGGATATGCAAGTGCTTTTGAAGTGCAGCAAATAAACACTCCTAAGCCTTTTTACAACATCTTCTATAGAGCTCTTAACTTATTGGAGGCATATACACCACAAAACAGGCCTAATAAGTGAAACATATTATTGGATGCTGAGGTAGACACTGGTTGCTTGCATTCTGGGAGAGTTCAGACCTGAAACATAGTCAAAAGTACAACAAAATAGCCCAGCTGGTTCTCTTGTGGGTGATTTAGGTATGTCATCCCAGGTTGATTCATAATAACGTAGAATGGTGATTTTATGTTCGTCTTTCTTGCCATCAATTTTTGTTCATTCTTATTTCTACTCTTAGATTATCTAAAGTAGCATTGCATCAGTTTTTTTTTTTCTTTCTTCCTTGCTATTTTTCCAGTACACATATTGCTTATGTTGTAATAATTTCAATATAGTTTGCCATTCCTTCTATGAAATTTTAATTTTCCATGTTCTTTTTCGACTTTTAACATTCAGTTCTTTTTGAAAAAAGAATTGAAACAAGAATTATTTAGTTGATCTCAAATAACGGGGACAAGGCTTTGTTGAATTGAATTGAGTTCTTTCTTTTACTTTTCATAGGCATTTGGTCCTTTTTTGAAAACTATTAGAGCAGAAAATCTGAGAATCTATCCTATGAGTTTTATGATAAAATAGCCCAGTAATAATGAATCTGTAAGCAAGGTGAGTCTGGTTTTATGCATGTACAAGCCAACATTTTTGGCTTGAATTATAACTCTACCCTTATTTTTTCATTGCTTCTATATGTGAGTAAAGATCAAAAAATGCTTGTATCTTTAATGCCTACTATATACGAGGCTGCTTCTCTAATTGCATTCTAATATAAGCTTATAAGTTCATATCCCGGAGAAAGTTGCCAAAGAGTTTGGTATACCAGTCATTCATCGGACTAGAAAGGTGTTATTCGGTCTAGTAGGCCCACTATTGAGATTTATTTCAATTATTCAAATTATTTATATTTTAAGATATGTCGAGTACATATCTTTGTAAAAAATTAAATTGATCGGATAACGGTAACCACGTATTCGGAAAAAATTTGTATAAAAAAAAATAAATGGTGAGAAAATAAACAGTTAATACAAAATTCATTCGAACACATATTTTTCGTTATTCAATCAACTTAATATTTTATAAGAATGATATAAATGTAAAGGATTTGAATCACTGTCCAGTAAGATGAAACACTGGAGACAGTGTAGTCCATTTTAAGAAACATAGAACTAAGCATTACTCCACAGTGATTTCTCTGTTTAGGAAAATGAATTTGTTAGCAGCTGGGTTCGTCAAGCTGATAAGTTTACACTTAACATCGTGATTAATTGTTTCTGTAAGTTGAATCGAGTTGATTTGGGTTTTTCTATTTTGGGGAATCTATTGAAACTTGGTTATGAACCAAACATCACAACCTTCAATACCCTAATCAACGGGCTTTGTGTAAATGCTAAGATCGCTTTGGCGGTTAAGTTTCTTGATGAAATTGTGGAGAAAGGGTTCCAACCCAATTTTATTACTTACAACACTATAATAAATGGACTCTGCAAAATTGGAAATACTAGTGTTGCTATTCGTTTGCTGAGAAAGATAGAAGAAATTGGAGGTTGTGAGCCTGGACTAGTGGAATACAGCACGGTCATCGATAGCCTTTGCAAGGATAGACTAGTAACCAAGGCTTTCAAGCTCTTTTCGGAAATGATAGGTAAAGCTATTTCACCAAATGTGGTCACTTACACGTCATTAATTCAAGGTGTATCTAGTTTAGGTGAGTGGGAAGAAACTACAAGATTGTTAAATGAAATGGTTGGTAAGAATATCTGGCCAAATGTTCGAACTTTTAGCATTTTAGTTGATGCACTTTGTAAAGAAGGAAAGGCCAAAGAAGCACAAGATGTGGTTGAATTGATGATCCAAAGAGGTGTGGTACCTGATGTTGTCACTTATAATGCTGTAATGGATGGGTACTGTCTGTGTGGCCAAGTAGATGAGGCAAGGAAAATGCTTGATGTTATAGTCAGTAGGGGTTGTGCTCCTAGTCTTTTCACTTACAACATCTTGATTAATGGGTACTGTAAGATCAAAAGCATAGATGAAGCCATGAGTCTCTTTAAGGAAATGTCTAGAAAAAGATTGCTTCCAGATACTATTACCCATACCACTCTTATTGGTGGCTTGGCAAGAAGACTTCGAGATGCACTTTTGCTTTTTAATGAGATGCAAGTTCAAGGCCAAATTCCTAATCTGTTTACTTACTCTGTTCTTTTGGATGGCCTATGCAAGAACCAACATCTTGATGAGGTATTAGCATTGTTTGAAAAGCTTGAACACGCTGGACTAGCTCCTGATATTGTGATATACAGTAACCTAATTGAGGGTATGTGCCTAGGTGGGAAGCTTGATGATGCGAGGAAAGCTACCTGATGAAGCCAGTGAGTGCTTGGGAAAATGGAAGAAGAAGGGTGCTCTCCAGATTTTTACTTGTATAATATATTGGTTCAAGGATTTCTACGAAATAATAGAACACAGAAAGTATTGCAATTTCTTCACGTAATGGATGATAGAGCTATCCCTGTGGACTCATGCACTGCAACCATTATGGTTGACATGTTATTGTGAATATATTGTGATTCTTAGAGTCCTATTAGAGGAGTGATTGTATTAGAGTCCTATTAGAGGCTTGATTGTATTCTCCTGTTTGGTTTAGGAGTTAGGGCTATATAAATCTAAGGTTTGGTTGTAATCAAAGATACAAGTTGTATATACAATTCATCTAGAATTCTTACATGGTATCAGAGCTACTGAAACCCTACCTCCGTTTCTGATTCAGTCTGCCAAAACCCTTGTCGCCGGAATTCTAGTTCATTGCTTCATGATTGGTGGTCGTGAAGTCGTCCTTCGCTCTGGCCCAAGTCGTCTTCCTCTCTGAGTCATCTCCTTCTCTGGTGTGACCCATCTGTGTGCGAGTTCAAGTCGTCTCCCTCTCTAGCATAATTCATCTGTTCGCGAGTTCAAGTCGCGATTTTCAACCTCAACTTCGGCACTTCTCCTTCCACTCAGCCCTTATCGCGACTCAGAGCCTTGTTCGATTCTTTCTTTGATTCTAGTTCTCAGATTAACAGATTGGTGTACTTCTGGTTACCAACTTGGGTTATTAAACCCTATTTTAGGCTTATTTCAGTTTGACCCAGCATTCTTTTATTTATTATACTTTGCCCTATCAGTCCTCTTATTTACTTCTGGTTCATTACAATGTCGGAAGATAAAATCCAAGCTATTAAATGTAAGCTTACAAGCGACAACTATGCTTATTGGTCTAGTGTTATGAGAAATTTTCTTCTCGGTCGAAAAAAATGGGGATATGTTTCTGGTTCTGTTCTTCGTCCATCAGATCCCAAAGAAGAAGACTATTTGAGTTCCTGTGACACTTGGGATTGTGATAATGCTCAAGTTTTGACCTGGTTCCATAACTCTGTAGATGACCGGATCGGGATGATGTTCTCTAAATATAGCACTGCCAAAGAGGTGTGGGATTACTTACAAAGTGTTTATCAGCAGTCCAACTTTTCCAAACGGTATGAGTTGGAAATAGCTATTCAGGGAGCTCGTCAGTGGGATCGGTCTATTCAAGACTTCTATATTGAAATGACAGGCCTCTGGGATCAGCTAGCTCTCATGGAACCATCTAGTCTCAAGCCACTTGACGCTTATGTTGAGTTTCGGGAGCAAGGTCGTTTAGTGCAATTCTTAACGGCTCTCTCCCGTCTGTATGAGGCTATCCGTGGTGGCATCCTTCATCGGTCTCCTCTCCCCTCTGTGGATGCTATTGTTCGTGAACTCCTCTTCGAGGAAACCCATCTTAAGATGGCCAGTCAGACTCTGTCTTCATCTGTCTTCTTGGCTCCTACTCCGTCTCCTCTGCTACCGAACCCCCTACCTCATCAGCTTCAGTCCAATGCAAAATCCAAAAAGGGGCCACTAGCCTCTGATGAGTGTGCTTTTTGCCATCAAAAGGGCCATTGGTAGTATAACTGTCCCAAGAAGGGTCGTCAGTCTGCTCAGTCTTCCTCAGTCTACCTCTTTCATTGCACTTTCATCTTTTTAGTTAGATTCTCAGTCGAGTCAGTTTTATTTATGGCATTCTCGCTTAGGTCATTTGTCTGTTGATCGCTTGCGGTCTTTAGCTCAGTCAGGATTATTGGGTAAAGTTTCTCTTAGTCAAATTAATGAGTGTCGATGGTGTAAACTTGCTAAAATGACAGTTTTACCTTTTAATAACAGTACTTCTATTTCTGCTACCCCTTTTTCTCTTGTACATACTGATGTCTAGGGACCTTCTCCTGTTCTCACTAAAGAAGGTTCTGCGTATTATATGTTGTTTGTTGGTGATTGTACCCGCTATACCTGGGTTTTTCTTATCGCTCATAAATCTGACTTCTACCAGATATATTGTACCTTTTAGTCTATGATCACTACACAGTTTGGGGCGACAATTAAAATACTCCGGTCTGACTTGGGTGGGGAATACTTTAAAAATGAATTATGTGAGTATTTGGCCAAATTGGGCACCGTTTACCAAACCTCCTATACTGATACACCTGCCCAAAATGGTCGTGCTGAGCGTAAACACCGTCATCTTCTTGAGACAACTTGATTTCTTCTTCTCTGAGCCTCTGTTCTGGCACCATTCTCGGGTGAGGCAGTTCTTACCGTTGCTTTTCTCCTTAATCGCATGCCGACTCCCTTACTCTCCAGTCGATCTCCTTATGAGGCTCTGTATTCCCAACCTCTCAATTATTCCCTCCTGTGTGTCTTTGGGTCTGCTTGTTTTGTCCTCCTTCCTCGTAAAGATAGAACCAAACTCAGTGCCCAGTCTGTTTTGTGTGTCTTTTTGGGTTACAGTCTTACTCAGAAAGGCTGCCGCTGTTACGATCCTATCTCTCGTCGCCTTTATGTCTCCAGTCATGTTGCCTTTTTCGAACGTCTGTCTTACTTTCAGCTTCCCCCACTCACTGCTCTAGTTTTCAAAGAGGATTTGGTTCACATTGACCCATTTCTTTCTGAGGTCTCGTCTGATGAATACATCTCCATCGTTCGTCTTGAGCTTGTTCCATCTTCTCCTCCTACTTCACCTCTAGTTGTTTCTCCTTCTTCGGCTTCTTCTCCTCCTGCGTTATTGGTTTATTCTCGTCGCAAGGCTCTTCCTCCACCGGTTGTTTCTACCCCTGCTTCTGACGACACCGATCTTGTTGAACACCGATATCCTACTCGAGTGCGTCATCCTCCAAACAGGTTGGGTTGGTCTAATACGTGTTTTTCTACTTCCTATCGTACTTTTTTGTCTGCTATTCACTCTTTTTCAAAACCTCAGTCTTACAAGAAGGCATGTCAGGATCCTCATTGAGTTCAAGCTATGGAGGATGAGTTGTCTGCTCTACAGAAAACTAGAACTTAGGAGTTTGTTCCTTTGCCTACTGGTAAGAACTTGGTTGGTTGCAAATGGGTCTACGAAGTCAAGACTCATTCTGATGGGTCTCTTGAGCGCTACAAAGCTCGTCTGGTTGCCAAAGGTTTCTCAGGAGTATGGTATTGATTATGAGGAGACATTTGCTCCTGTTACCAAGATGACTACTGTCCGTACGTTGATCTCTGTCGCTGCTATTCGGTCTTGGCCTCTTTATCAGATGGATGCTAAGAATGCTTTTCTTAATGGACATCTCACTGAGGAGGTTTACATGCGTCCTCCGCCTGGCCTTCACCATTCCTCTGGCCAGGTTTGTCGTCTTCAGCGTGCTTTGTATGGTCTGAAGCAGTCTCCTCGTGCTTGGTATAATCGTTTTCAGACTGCTGTTACCGAGCTTGGGTTTCATTCTTCTGCTTCCAACTCTGCTTTGTTTCTAAGACAAACATTGGCTGGTTTTGTTGCTCTCTTACTCTATGTGGATGATATGATCATCACTGGCTCTGACTCTTCTGCTATCTCTGAGGTTAAGCAGCATCTCTTTCGTACCTTCAAAATGAAAGATCTGGGTCTATTACAGTATTTTCTTGGTATTGAGGTTGCTTCTTCTCCAAAAGGCTATTTTCTGTCTCAGGCTAAGTATGCTAATGAAGTCATTCACCGTGTTGGTCTTGTTGATACTAAGGTTTCTGATACACTTATTGAGCTTAATGTGAAGCTTAACTCTACTGATGGTGTCCCTCTAGATGATCCCACTTTATATCGCGACCCATTTTATATCGCGAGCTTGTGGGTTGTTTAGCTTATCTGACTCTCACTCGCCTTGATCTTGCTTCTGCTGTTCATGTGGTTAGTCAGTTCGTTTCTACTCCTCGCTCTACCCATTAGGCTGTTTTGGTTCGCATTCTTCGCTATCTCAGGGGTACCATCTTTCAGGGTTTACTGTTGTCCTCTACTTCCTCTTTGGACTTGGTGGCCTATGCTAACTCTGATTGGGCTGGTGATGTTACTGATCGCAAGTCTACATCTGGTTTCTGTATGTTTCTTGGTGATTCCTTGATCTCTTGGAAAAGCAAGAAATAATCAGTCGTTGCTCGTTCTACTGCCGAAGCTGAGTATCGTGCTATGGCTCATGCCACTGCTGAAATTGTTTGGCTTCGTTGTCTCTTGTTTGATTTGGGTGTCTCTCAGTCTTCTTCGACCTCTCTATTGTGACAACCGCAGTGCTGTTCCGATTGCCCATAATACTGTCTTCCATGAGCGGACAAAACATATTGAGATTGATTGTCATTTTGTTCGCCAGCATCTGCAGTCGGCCTCTATCTCGCTTCCTTTCATCTATTCGGCTTTGAAGCTTGCAGACTTCTTCACCAAGACTCACACTACCGTTCGGTTTCGGTTTCTTCTTAGCAAACTCTCAGTGTTTTCTGCTCAAACACCTTGAGTTTGAGTGGGGTTGTGTATATATTGTGATTCTTAGAGTCCTATTAGAGGAGTGATTGTATTAGAGTCTTATTAGAGGCTTGATTGTATTCTCCTGTTTGGTTTAGGAGTTAGGGCTATATAAACCTAAGGCTTGGTTGTAATCAAAGATACAAGTTGTATATACAATTCACCATCCTATTAGAGGCTTGATTGTATTCTCCTGTGTGGTTTAGGAGTTAGGGCTATATAAATCTAAGGTTTGGTTGTAATCAAAGATACAAGTTGTATATACAATTCATCTAGAAATCTTTCAGTTATCTAACGATGGATTAGATAATTCGTCAAAGGAAATGCTTCGTGCATCTTTTGGAATTACTTCATTTTCCAAGTAACCACAAGTTTTTTGGAGCTACTTTATTTTCTAAGGTATCATAATGAGTCAAGGTGCTGCATTGATATATGTGCTTTATTGATAATTGTAACTTGTAAGTTGATTTAACTCATATTTGCTTAGATATTGTTTTTTATATAAAGGTCT